GAGTGATAATAGCTTTCTGGAGCCACTCTCTTGATATGTTTTGAACTCACAGCTGCTTCCAATTCATTTTAGATTAACAGAACCTTTGAGTCTAAAACCCTAATCCAACCTATCATACAGTTTTTGCATTGTTAGACCTCTCCATCCCCCTACCAGTGCCCCCCCAACTATGTAATTCTGCAGCATAGATTTCCAAACTTGTTCTCTTCCTAGAAGCTGCATTTGAAAGAATGATTTGTATTGTTTTAATTACATTTTTAGCTGGATGGTTAAAGTGCTGTATGATCAAGAGGAATTTTACAGCTTACTGCCCCTGGCCGTGGGCAATGTTCTGATGAGATGTTCCTGTGCCAGTTTCCCTTCAAGAGCCTTGGGTAAAACATGCTTTGTAAATAAAATCATGAAAATTATTGGGTACATTCTCTATTCTCTTGTTAACCCTTTTGCCTACAGTGAAAAAGTTTCATTTTTATAGTCCCCAGTTCCATATAACTCCTATCTATTTTCTCCGTAACTATCAGGAGGCTCTTAAGTTACTTAAAGGTTTTTACTTCACTGTACTAAAGACATGAACAGTATTCATCAAAAATTACTTAGAGACTTAACCCTTGTAAGTAGCTTGCTCCATTAAATTCAACACAGCTTTGCTAGAATCATAGCGTCCCTACAGTCTGAATGCAGTCCATTTGGCCCATTGAGTCTACACTGAACCTCCAAACAGCATCCCACCCAGACCTACCTCACCCTGCATTTCCCACTGCCAATCTACCTAACCTGCATGTCTTTGGACTGTGGGAAGAAACCAGAGCACCTGGAGGAAACCCACCTAGACATAGGGAGAACATACAAACTACACACAGACAGTCACCTGAAGGTGGAACTTGAACCTGGATACCTGGTGCTCTGAGTCAGCAGTGCTAACCACTGAGCTACCATGCCACCCCAAATAACAATGAAGAATTTTTTGCAACAAAACAGTACTCTCTTACTTGAACCAGATTCTTGACTGTTGAAGCTGGAGATTCTTTATTAATATCAGGAAGAATGATAAAAATGATAATTTCAAAAAAAATTAGCACATATACGTGCCATGTATGTATTCTACTCAAATGAACGTGCTTACTGAGGAAACAAAACTATTTTGGTTGCCATTCTGAATGGGTTTAAAACAGAGCTGTCTTGACTAAACGAATTTACTTAATATAAATGAGGCATCCAATGAGCTTCCAATACCCATTTCAATGCTGGTTGCCAAGTAACCTTTCGCCATGTTTCAACCTGTCTCAAGCAATCACATTGAGGCCCATGCCAAGAAAAATCTTCCCAGCTGTGTCTGAGTTGAACCAGTCCCAAAAATTTTTTCCTGGAAACATTTTGCATTTTCGATCCTAAATTATAAAGCAAGTTACCATGGACGTAAATACCAGCTTATTATGAAAACCATTTTGTTAATTCCTTGGAGAATGAGCAACCTAGTGCAGCTCTTAAGTGGAATTTTACATCCCCTGAAATTCCAGGTTCCCAGGGGAATATTTTGAGCTACTTAAAATAGAGGGCTTTTTTCGAAAGAAAATTGGTGACTGCAGCAATATTACAAGATAAAGGATTATAATTCTTCTTTGATGATCTTTATTACCCTCCCCTACCACGCCCCTAACTTTTCACCTATTGTTTTATTGGAGGTGTTTGTTAAGGTAAGCCTGCCTTGCTTGGAATTCGCTTTGAGCTTTCACAGGATTCTATCAAATGTTTCTTTATGATTGACTGATGGTTGCTGGGTTTCTCTGAATTGAATACACCCTTATACTCTCATTCCCCTTCTACCCCTGGGTTGCCTGACTTGGATTGGCTCCTGCTCAAGCAAAGCCTTGACTTAAAATTCTCATCTTTCCACAGTCTTGATTCTCTTTTTCTCTCTAATCTCCTCCAACCCTCTGAGATATCTGGGCTCTTCTAATTCTGGGGCTCTAGTACATTCCCAGTTATAACTGCCCCACCTCTGGTGGCTGTGCCTTAAATTGCTGAGGCACCAGGATCTGAATACTTACCTTCCAACTCTTGGAGCAGTACTTGGGTGGTAAGGTGGCTCAGTGGTCAGTACTGCTGCCTCTTGGTGCCAAGGACCTGGGCTTGAATCTAACCTTGGGTGGCTATCTTTGTGGAGTTAGCATGTCCTCCCCATGTCTGTGTGGGTACCCTCTGGTCCTCTGGTTTCTTCCCACAGTCCAAAGATGTGCTGGTTAGGGTGCATTGGCCATGGAAAATGCAGGGATAGGGAGGGGTGTGGATCTGGGTGAGATGCTCTTCGGTGGGTCAGTGTGGGCTGAATGGCCTCCTTCCACACTGTAGGGATTCTATGAACTCTCTGCATCTTCACCTTGCTTTCCTCCCTCAAACAAATCCTTCTACCAAGCCCTTAGTCATCTGCACTCTCCATATGTTGCTCATTGTTATATTTCCCTCTTATATTGGTCTTATGTAGCACCTTTTGATGTTTTATAATTTTAAAGGCATTCATTAAACATAAATTATCACTGTTGTTTCTCCGTTTCCTCCGTGGCAGGAGAGACTAGGACATGAGGGCACAACCTTACAGTAAAGGGAAGACCTATTAGAACGGAGATAAGGAGAAACTTCTTCAGCCAGAGAGTCGTGAAGCTATGGAATTCATTGCCACAGAAGGCTGTGGGGGCCAGGTCATTGAGTCTATTTAAGACAGAGATAGATAGGTCCTGGAGTGTCAAGGGGATCAAAGGTTACAGGGAGAAAGCAGGAGAATGGGGTTGACAATGGTGTTTGGGGGAAGTGATGGCCTAGTTGTATTGTTGCTGGACTCTTAATTTGGAGACCCAGGTAATGTTCTGGGGACCTGGGTTCAAATCCCACCATGGCAGATGGTGGAATTTGAATTCAATTTAACAAAACTGGAATTAAGGGTCTAATGACAACCACAAATCAGTTGTCAATTGTTGGAAAAACCTATCTGGTTCATTAATGTCCTTTAGGGAAGGAACCTGCCATCCTTACCCGGTCTGACCTAGATGTGACTCCAGACCCACAGCAATGTGGTTAACTCTTAACTGCCATCTGGGTAAGTAGGGATGGGCAATAAATGTTGGCCCAGCCGGCAATGCTCTCATTCTGTGGATGAATAGAAAAAAAAGAAACTTATCAGCCATGGTTAAATGGCGGAGCAAACTCAATAGGCCGAATGGCCTAATTTCTGCTCCAATGTCTTATTTATCGGCGTTATGAAAAATGTATAATGTTTAGCCTTTCATACTTGTCACTGCAAGTAAATCTTTGACTTGTGCCAAGTTTTTCTGATGATACATTGGAGTTCTTGATGGAGGAGGTCAAAAGTGTAAGAGATATCCTACTGTATCTGCAATAGGGGCAGGAGTCTTTCTGACAATTGCATAGATCAGACAGCTGTGCAGCTGACATTAACATTAGTGTTGTGGTCATACAGACACTGCAATGGTCAGTGACTGAGAGAAGGCCAGGTTTGGAATGTGCTGGTAAATGGGCCATTGGAGCTGTGTTCGTTGGTGTAACGCTTCAGTAATTCTTCATCAACAGCCTGGCTGGAAAGGAACTCTACTGATTGCCTCTTCTTTTCTTCTTCCACCTATTTTCCTATTTCCTCCTCATGGTTCTGTAGTGTAGCTGGTGACACACAGGGCCCAGGAAATGAGAGTGCTCATTACCTGGGCCTGTGCCTTTGATGGGGTTTTCTTCCCCCCTTTATTCATTCACGGGATGAGAGTGTCACTGGCTAGGCAGATGGCAGTTAAGCGTCAACCAACATTGGTGTGGATCTGGAGTCACATGTAGGCCAGACCAGGTAACGATGGCAGTTTCCTTCCCTAAAGGGCATTAGTGAACTAGATGGGTTTTTCCGACAATCTGCACATGGTCATCATTAGATTCTTAATTCCAGATATTTATTGAATTCAAATTCCACCATCTGCTGTGGCAGGATTCAAACCAAGTCCCCAGAATGTTATCTGGTCTCTGGATTAACAGTCCAGCAATAATGCCACTAGGCCATCGCCTTGCCTGGCTTGAGTAACCTCAACCCCTCTCAAGTAGCTGCCTGTGCCTGATACAGTGGACAGTGCTGTAGGATTGAGCAAAAATTCCCATATTTTAAAATACTAAAACCCTGAACTTATCAAAAAAACCTTTAAAAGTGAAAAAAGGCAGCTGGGCTATGCTCTGGGAAAAATACACAGACACAAGCATGGCTGCCTGGAACTATTGTTCAGCCCAAAAAATCCAATTCACACCTCGACTCTAAAAGAACAATTAACCAGACCTAACACTTGAGACTGAAATTAACTTCTACCCTTCGGGCTACGCCAACCCAGACATTATGGAGCCTATACAGATACCAAGGCATTCAACTTCAATCAATATTTATGCACAGACAGACCAGACATTCCATTTAATCAAAATACATTTACTTTTAACTACCAGGAAGCCAATTGCCTCAAAGGGAACATTAGTAACACAATGGCAAGCACCAATTTGGCGCAAAGATAAGAGACCCGCAATTGGTAAAATTGCAGGCCCTGACCGCACCTGAGAGAGCTACTGCCCCAAGAACGATCCCCAAAGGCATCTCCAGAAGAGGGATCCGAAAGTGCCAACCCCAAGAGCTATCGGCACAATTACTTCCGGAAGAGGGATCCAATAGAGTGATTCGCCCCGGGAGAGGGATTCCAAGGTGCATGATTCTCCCGGAGAACTATCCACACAGCCATCTCCGGAAGAGGCATCCCGACGGCTGTCCCGAAACCTACCGACACAGGCCTGTCCCGTGCCAGGGGAACAAACGGCAACCGACCGCGATCAGCAGACCTGACAACCGACAACCAACAACCAACAACCTCTGAAATCACCGACCTGATTGGCACCACAAGGCCTTAGACACATCCTGAGGTGAAAACTGGCTCGCAAAAACCACCACAATGTCAGGAAAGCCAAGTACTCACCTAATAAATCCAAAACGCATCCTACCGCATCATCGGACTCAACCCAGACCAAAGGCCTACACCATCCAAAGTCTTCATCGAGGCACTGGGTACGGCAAGTGCGAACAGCCAGCAGTACTTCAGAATCATGTTTCCCTCAGTGGTGAGCTGAGTCCCGAAGCCCCAAAGTTTCCCACCTAGTTAGAGGGGAGGGGAAAGTGGGTGGTGACAGTGCAGGGACCCCAAGGATAGGTTAAAGTTTCGGAGGTTAAATCCTGTTGTTTAGTTCTAAAAGTGTTTAACCTCCGTCGAATTTGATAGTGTATTTAATTACTGTCCTCTGTATAACTGATAATGTCAATTTCGCTGTTTTGTTGTATTTGCCTTTATTTCTTGCAACTTACCTTTTGTATTTAATAAAAACAGAGGTTCTTTTACCCCTGAAACTCCTGTCTACTGCCTTCTTCATTTCACATTCCTAAATACATCCAGTGTGAGAACCAGGGATCTGCGGGTGATTCAAACCACCTGCAAATCAGCAAATTACTGATCACAAACCAGAATCCCTGCAGTGCGCACAAGGACGATGTTCCTGTGCCGAATATCCTGTTGCCATGGAGCGAGTGCCCGAGTCAGTGCAGCCATTTTGTTTTTTGATGGACAAGGTGCAGTCTGGGTGATGTAGTTGGAGTCAGCCTGAGGCCATGATCCCTGCAGCCCCTGGCCCATTATTTCTTACAGCATGCTGTCTCCTATGGGTCATTGAAACGTTTTCATTTGAGCTTGGCAAAGATGGGGTAGTCTTATGAATTTTAATTTTCTTCTTTCCCTCACATGTAATCGCATCTTTACTTGTGAGATACATGGAATGCCCTTGACTACTATGTTTACGGTTCAATTATCTAACTCATTTCTAAATTACTTTTATATTTGAACCAGTCACATGCTATATGGAGTCAAACCAAAATAAAACCAAAACCAAAGCTAAATTGCCTCTTGATGGTATTTGGCCCTGGGCTGAGCCCATCCTTATCTGGTCTCCTTTCTCTCGGTGGTGGTGTGTGATAGGAGTGTGTGTGTGTGTGGGGTAGGGTTGAGAGTTAGGTGCGTGCACACACACACACAAACAATTCCACACACACACACACAAACACAAACACAAACACACACGCACACAAGCACAATTCCACACACACACACACACACACTCACACACAATTCCACAGACCCACATACACACGTATCCACACAGACACACCCACACCCACAGGCACACCCTCACATACTCACAGAGACACACTCACACGCACACGTACACATACACAGTCAGATAGACAGATCCACACCCACAGACACACACACACACACCCCCCCCATAAAGACACACACACTCACGTGCACACATACACACTCCATAGACACAAGCATCCCCTTCCTCTCCCCACCCCTAGAAACCATTGTGGGGGGCGACAGGGCAGGATGGAAGGAAAGCACGGGCTGAAAGAATAACTGCTTCCAATTCTCACTGCCAGCTTGGACTGTGCACAGCCAGAAGTGAACGCAAAGTCAGTGTTAGTTAATCCCAACTGTCATGGACCAGTTTGGGCCCAAGGGCCTGTCTCCATGCTTCAGGACTCTATGACTCTATAACTGCTTGCCTTACCCTGTAGCTTTTCCTGCCACTGTGCGAATCTCTGAGATCTGTGCATGTCTGGAACCGCGAGCCAATACGTTGGTACGTCAATTGGTAGAGAGTTCCTGGAGCTGAGATGACTCACCGCCAACAATTATAACCATCTTTCTTTGTGCCAGGTATGACTCCAATCAGCAGAGAGCTTTGTTCCTGATTCCAGTTTTGCTCAGGCTCCTTGATGCCACACTCAGTCAAATATGATCTTGATGTCAAGGGCTGTCACTCTCACCTCAGCTCTGGAATTATGTTCTTTTATCCATGCTTGAACCAAGGCTGAAATGAGGCCAGGAGCTCTGATGAACCCAAATGCAACATCAGTGAACAAGTTATTCATTTGCTAGTGCTGCTTGATAGCACAGACGACAACGCCTTCCATTACTTTACTGACAATTGAGAGTAGATTGATAGAGATTTAATTGGCTGGGTTGGATTTATCCTGTGTTTTGAGGACAAGAGACACCTGGATAATTTTCCATGTCTCTGGGTAGATGTGAGTGTTGTAGCAGTCGGGGAACATATTGGTTAGGGGCACAGCAATTTCTGGAACATGTTTTTAATATTATTGCCGGAATGTTTTCAGCACTCATAGCACTTGTAGAAACCAAATAAACATTACCAATCTGAAAATTGTGTGAGTGATCTATTTAGCTATTGTGTAATTAATGTATATTCCACTATCCCACAAAATAAACTCTTATAATGCTGAAGAATATTGTCTCTAGGTATAGAAATGCAACCCGGTCTCACATAGCAAGGGGCAGCATGGTGGCTCAGTGGTTAGCACTGCTGCTTCATGGTGCCAGGACCCTGACTTTGATTCCATCCCTGGGCGACTGTCTGTGTGGAGTTTGCATGTTCTCCCCATGTCTATGTGGGTTTCCTCTCTGGTTTCCTTCTGCAGTCTGAAGAGTGCAGGTTAGGTGGATTGGGCATGGGAAATGTAGGGTTACAGAGAGAGGGTGGGGGTGCAGGCCTGGGTGGGAGGTCTTCAGAGGGTCCATGTAGAGTCAATGGGCCAAATGGCCTGCTTCCATGTTGGAGGGTTTCTACAAATATTTTATTCCACTCACACTGTGACAGCATCACATGCTCTCACATGGATCTTTACCTAGGACAGACTGTCAAAATGTTGATATTTAAACACAAACAAGATTTTATTATGTACAGTCATAACAAACCACAATATTCTGGCTGGTTAGCCCATAACATAACTCAGGTGGATGGATTAGCTGTACCTATGACTTCTTGCTTTCATAACTGCATTTAATTTTCCATGTGTTCTTAAAATAGATCACAATGTATGCTGTTTGATATCAGATAGAATAAACCTTTAAGTTTCAACTGTATGGTTGCTTTCTTAGATTTAGATTTTATTGTCACGTCTTGGTTCCATTTTGAGATATACCTCTATGTTTTCCATAGCTGTGAGCGCAGGTGTAGTCTGCTAGGTTTAATATAATCCATCCAAATCACCTTAGATCCAGCTAATATGTATTTCTACACCTAATACATCACTTTCCTTCACAACTGAATTGATGATGAGATGTCATTAAATCAAAAACACTTTTGGATTGGGCTTCTGGAAAGGGAAAACTAAAGACAAAATGGAATGATTCAAGAAACTTAGATACTGTGACGTTCCATGCTGTTGGGGTTGTTTTGGGACAGAATAACATGATAGGCTGATTTGCCTTCCCCATCTTACGGTTGTCAACACCTCATGCTGAATCTCTATTCAGGTTTATTTGGAAATCCTCGAGCCCCAGAAAATCTTGACGGCTTTCATAAATAGTAATTTATCAGTGTAGACTTACGGTGATTAATTCTGAATAACGGGGACATTCTTTAACTGACACCTCCAGCCCACCAACAAAATATGATTAAAACTGCCCCTCGGTGATATAGAGGTTCCTGGAAGGTACAGCCATGCTGTCAAACATTAGATTAAAATCTTCCTTGTTGTGTCATGACACACAACTACTGTACAAAATACCTTTGAAAGACATTCTCATGATATCACCACTGTATCATAGCAAGTGATGGTATAAAGACCTCAGTCTCCATCATACTTGCTCCAGGTCACTTGCAGCATGACATGCTGAGGAGAACATGCAAAAGCTTGCAACTAAATTATTCACTCTTAGCCCACACACAGCAGTGCCAGTAATTATACTATATGTATGTAATAGGAGCAATAACAAAAGTCTATAACCCCTAAGCACTATGTGGCTTATGTATAGATCTTATGTTAGAGGAGTTAACATAGTATCAGCTCGTTGTGTGACTATTCTACTGAAGATAAAAAGCCTATCACAGTATCCATGGCAAATCTTGAGGGCAGAATGGGTCAGGATTACTAGTGACGGCCATTTATAAAGAAATGACTCCCTGATATCAATCATTAGTGAATAAGAATCTTCCTTCACTGATTGATTTTCCCTGGCATAAACTGGAAGATAAAGTATTAACAACTTCCTTTTTCTCCCCTTCTTTATTCTGTGATATTATCCCTTTGATGAGCTTTCCCATGTAATGGCTGTTGCTTCAACAAATAAGGGATCAAATCTACTTGATGGAACTGAAGTAATACATTTGGTGATAGGGCTCTGTTATAGAACAAACAATTATTGGACACTTGTTAACAATGAAAACTGGAGAAAGCTTCAGAAAAGTAACCATGGTCCCTGGAACCTGCAGAACCAAGAACTCATTACCATCTGAGTGTGTCTCTTCACCCAGAGAGAGGTGAGCCTGTGTAATTCTCTGCCACAGAAAGCAGCTGAGACTAAAACATTGAATGATTTCAAAGGGATCAATGTAGCTTTTAGGGCTAAAGGGATCAAAAGATATGAGGCAGAAGTGGGAATAGAATATTTAGTTGGGCAATCAGCTGTGATCATATTGAATAATGGAACAGGCTATAAGGGTTGAATGGCCTACTCTTGTTCCTATTTTTTTGTAAATCCATGTTAAGGCCTTACAGGCATGTTGGATAGTGTTAACTACGACTCAGTCTGTAACATGTTCAGAGTCAGAAGGTTATGGGTTCAAGACCAATGCCAGACTTGAGCATAAGCATTGAAACATCTGTACAGTACTGAGAGAGGGTTGCACTATCTTTCAGATGATGTGGAGGTGCCAGTATTGGACTGGAGTGGACAAAGTCAAAAGTCACATGACACAAGGTTCTAGTCCAACAGGTTTATTTGAAATCACAAGCTTTCGGAGCGCTGCTCATACATCAGGTAAAGTCATCTGACAAAGGAGCGAGGCTCCGAAAGCTTGTGATTTCAGTTAGACCTGTTGGACTAGAACCTGGTATCATGTGACATCTGACTTTACCTTTCAAATGCAATTGTAAACTGAGTTTCCAACTGCTTTCTCTCTAAAACAAAATCCCTTGACTCTGCTGGGTCATTACGTGTTCTGGTAGTGTCGTTACCTCTTGGCCAGAAAGCTGGGGTTCAAGCCCCAATTGTTTATTGTAATATGTCTAAATAGGATGCTTTTTTTAATAAAAGAAGTAGGTTCTTCTAAAAAT